ATGTGTCTTTCCCACATTCATGTTTCTTTCTCTCTGTCTCTCCCCCTAACCTTCTACTCTCTCATAAAGTCACTGGAAAAAAAATATCCTTAGTTGAGGATTAACAAATAAATAAATAAAAGGAAGGAAGGAAGCCAAAGGAGACTTTCCTATTTCTTTTTAGCAACTTTGCCATTCCAAAATGAATACAGTTTAGCCGAGACCGGTTTGGCTCAATGGATAGAGCGTCGGCTTGGTGACTGAAGGGACCCAGGTTCGATTCCGGACATGGGCATGTACCTTGGCTGCAGGCATATCCCCAGTAGGGGGTGTGCAAGAGGCAGCTGATCGATGACTCTCTCTCATCGATGTTTCTAGCTCTCTATCTCCCTTCCTCTCTGTACAAAATCAATAAAATATATATATATATAAAAAATGATTACAGTTTAAAGGTTTGGGTATAGAATGATAAAATAGTAATTGCACTGGGGCAGAGGGATTAAAATGACTTTTTTTGTTTTCTATAATATACAATATATTACAATTAATTATTTTCTTAAGTTTTAATATTTTTATCTCCACACAACTATCATCTAGCTTCTTTCCAATGTCCTGTGATACTGACACATTTATCACTGCCCTTGTAGACCTCCAGTCCTTTTTATTTTCTGTTTGAATTCGTTCTTTTTTTTTTTTTTTTTTTTTTTTTACTTCTGTTACCTGAATCTTAGGAAAGAGATTGTAGGCAGGTTATAAATTAGCCCCTGCTCACAAATATATTTAACTCAAATCAATTTAATATATGTTTGTTTGTTTGTGTTTTTGTTTTCCCCAGAGATGAAGGAGGAAGGGGGGGAGAGAGAGAGAAACATCAGTGATGAGAGAGAAGCACTGATTGGCTGCCTCCTTCATGCCCCCTACTGGGGATGAGCCTGAAATCTGGGCATGTGCCCTGACTGGAATCAAACTGACCTTCTGGTTCATAGGTCAATGCTCAACTACTGAGCCAGGCTGGCTGGGCTCAAATAAATTTTTTTAAATTAATACTTAAAGTAGTTTTAGATATTTTATTTTATGAATTTTGGGTTTGGGTGAAAAATCAAAGCTGTATGGTAACTGGGGATCATTTTGTAGGAACTCTTCAGTAGAGTCCTCAGCCCATTTTTTTTTTAATTGTGGTAAAATGCACATAACAAATTATTACCATTTTAACTCTTTTTCAGTATACAGTTCAGTGGCATTGATTACACTGACATTACTTTACAACTCACCACCATCCATCTCCAGAATTCTTTTTATCTTACAAAACTGAAACTCTATACTCATTGAACAACTCTGTTTTTCTCTTCCCTGCCCGTGGGGCAACCACTGTTCTACTTTCTGTCTATATGAATTTGAGTACTCTAGGTATCTCATTCACTAGCCTATTTTAAGGAAGTATATTAGAAGGAGGAGTAGCCTGGCCGGTGTGGCTCAGTGGTTGGATGTCGACCTATAAGCCAGGAGGTCATGGTTCAATTTTTGATTAGGGCACATTCCAGGCTCAGTTCCCAGTAGGGAGTGTGTAGGAGACAGCTGATCAGTGATTCTCTCTCATCATTGATGTTTCAATGATTCTCTCTCATCATTGATGTTTCTATCTCTCTCCCTCTCTCTTCCTCTCTGAATCAATAAAAATATATTTTTTAAAAAGGGGGTGGTGAGCCGAAACCGGTTTGGCTCAATGGATAGAGCGTCGGCTTGGGGACTGAAAGGTCCCGGGTTCGATTCCGGTCAAGGGCATGTACCTTGGTTGCGGGCATATCCCCAGTAGGGGGTGTGCAAGAGGCAGCTGATCGATGACTCTCTCTCATTGGTGTTTCTAACTCTCTATCTCTCTCCCTTCCTCTCTGTACAAAATCAATAAAAATATATTTAAAAAAAAAAGGGTGGTGAGTAGGTGGATATATCTGAATAATTAACTCTTTCGGTGATGATCAGTTCTCCAAGTTAATGTACACTGCAAATCTAAGCTTTGTGACAGATTCCCAGGGTTGTTAAAAGACATGTCCTGGGAAGGCTTTCTAGGTCTCAAAGCCCAAGGGTGGCTTTGCATGGCTTGACCACAGCCCCCTGTGGAAGTGGAGTAATGGAATGGGGAGGACTCTGGACTTAATCATAGGACCTAGGCATAATTCTTAGCACTTACTTGCTGTGGGGCCAAGTCCCTCCATCTCTCTGAGCCTCAGCTTCCTCCTCTGAGAAATGGGACAATATTTCCTGTCATGTGTACATCCCAAAATCAGTAAGACAGATAACGAACTTCCTTTACAGTCTTGAGAATCCTAGCACAGTGTTCAAATGCAGTTAAATGCAAGGAAAATGGGGCTCCTAGTCCCCATTTCACAGAAGCATTAGAGACTTGGAAGTGCCTTGCCCAAGGTCATTTAGCACTTGTGGTAAAATCGGTTGAAACCCAGCCTCTCAGTCTACAAATTGCAGCTATAGGGTTCCTTGTTGGTCGGTATTTCTAAGGACAGTATACTATGAAACAGATGGTCGCTTTCCCATGTTACTAGATTTAAAATATTGCTCAAGAAGCTCTGATGTCAGTGGGCCTGCAAGAGAGGACTAGGGGTAAAGGTTTTGGTGGGGGATCTCAAGGATAGTGATTCTGTATTACAGGTATAGAGTCCTAAAACATTTCTTTGGTGATCATCTTGCCCAGGGATAAAAGATACCTTGCACTTGGCAGTTACTTCCAATATTAGGCCCACAGCAGATAGCACCAATCACAACTCCCTCCCTGAGTCTGAACACGGCATCAGGACCATTCTTAACATAGGCACAACCAGTCAACCAGAAGTAGTACATCCTGTGGGACCTGTGCCATCCCCAGCCTTGTACTAGTACAATCCCCAGGGAGAGAGAGAAATATCAATGATGGCCAAAACCGGTTTGGCTCAGTGGATAGAGCATCGGCCTGCAGACTGAAGGGTTCCAGGTTCGATTCTGGTCAATGGCATGTACCTTGGTTGCGGGCGCATCCCCTGTGGGGGTGGGAGGGGTGCAGGAGGCAGCTGATCAATGTTTCTCTCATCGATGTTTCTAGCTCTCTATCCTTCTCCCTTCCTCTATGTAAAAAATAAATAAAATAGATTTTTTTAAAAAGAAAAGAAATATCAATGATGAGAGAGAATCATTGATCGTCTGCCTCCAACATGCCCCCCCACTGGGGATCAAGCCCACAACCTAGACATGTGCCCTTGACTGGGACCCTTCAGTCCATATGCCTATCTCTATCCACTGAGTAAAACTGGCTAGGGCCAACCCCAATTTTTACAGATGGGTGGCTGCCTGGGAGGGGAAGGGACTGTTTGAGGGGTGATGTCACAAGTCTCTTTGTGAGAGGGGAAGAGATTGTCAGAATAGCCCAAAGCCTGGGGAGGTGATTAGTATGCTTGCAAAAACATCGGCAGAACTGCCCTCAGAGAGGTAGAAGTTGTCAAGGTAATGCCCACTTTCATCAGGTGCCCTTTAGATGCTGGAGATCTTAGTGAAAGTGCATTGTAGCCAGATTCCTCCAGCAGAAAGGAGAGACCAGACTTCTCTTTCACAGTGGCTTCTAAACTTTGTAGGAAGGTGTGTGTTGGTATTGCTTGTCAGTAAGCTTGTATTTTTTTTTCTTGTGAGACTAGATGCTGTGAAAGTTGAATTCTGGATATTGAAACCTGTAGGGGTTGCTCTCACTTAGCAAATAGAACATGACTTGCTCTGTGATGCTGAGCAAATTCCTCAGTCTCTGAGACTGTTCTCTCAATAGCACAAGAGGAGATGGTGAAAACATCTTGTGGGGGTCAAACACAAGACTCAGGTATAAGGATCTTGGACAGTGATTGGGCTACTGTAGTAGCCACCAATTCCCGAGCAAACACTAACATCAATATCTATGACTATTAGCTACTAATATGTTCATTGATTTTTTAAAAATTTTTTGAGGGAGGGAAAAAGAAACATAGATGTGAGAGGGAAACATAGATTGGTTGTCTTCTGTATGCACCCTGATCGGGGATCAAACCCTCAACCTAGTATGTTCCTTGACCGGGAATCAAACCTGCAACATTTTGGTGTAAAGAGAGTTAGGGGGTGTAAGAGAGAAGCCTGTACTCATGACTTGTCTCAGCACCTGTCTTCTGCTTGCCAAGTTGCTTCTTACAGACTTCTCTACTTGCTGCATTCTTAGGGTATTCCAGGTGAAAAGCCCTGCAGGATTGTAGGGACAAAGTCAAAGATAGGGTCCTATCTCATGTCAGCAGGCATTTGTCTGGGCACCTCTTCTAGGCCAGTATGGAAACCATGTGGATCCTTCCTTCATGGGCTCAGATCTAAAAAGGAAGAGAAGCCTGCCTTAGCCGGTTTTGCTCAGTGGATAGAGTGCTGGCCTATGGACTGAAGGGTCCCAGGTTCAATTCCAGTCAAGGCATGTATTTCAGTTGCAGGCTCCTGGCCCTGGTTGGAGGCATGCAGGGTGTAACCAATCACTGAGTTTCTTTCACATTGATGTTCTTTTCTGTCTCTCCCTCTCCTTTCCATTCTTTCTAAAAACCAATTGGAAAAATATCCTTGGGTGAGGATCAAAATATAATAATAAATAAGAAGGGAGAGGCCTATAGAACAGTGTGATGGCAAGAGCCTGTGGTACATCTAAACATGGGGTGCTGACCCAATGAGGGGAACCAAGGTAGGGGCCAGTCCGGAAAGCCTTTAAAATTTTTAAATATATTTTTATTGATTCCAGAGAGGAAGGAAGAGGGAGAGATAGAAACATCAATGATGAGAGATAATCATTGTTTGGCTGCCTCCTGCATGTGCCCTGACTGGAATTGAACTCTGACCTCCTGGTTCATATGTTGATGCTCAACCACTGAGCCTTGCTAGCTGGGCAGGAAAGGCGCTTTTTTTAAAAATATATTTTATTGATTTTTTTACAGAGAAGAAGGGAGAGGAATAGAGAGTTAGAAACATCGATTAGCTGTCTCCTGCACACACCCTACAGGGTATGTACCTGCAACCAAGGTATATGCCCTTGACTGGAATTGAACCTGGGACCCTTCAGTCTGCAGGCCGACGCTCTATCCACTGAGACAAACCCGTCAGGGCGAAAGGCTTTTTTTGAAAGAGTAATGCTGGACCTGAGATCGAAGGAGGAGGCAGAATTAGGGAGGTAGTAAAGGCAGAAAGCAGCCAGTGCAAAAGCTCGGAAGCTGAGATCCTGGTGTGTTGGCATGAAGAGGGTAGTGGAGAGAAGTTAGAGGGATGCCTAGCAAGACAGGCATGCCAATAGTCAACACCCTAAAATATTAGAATTGTGATGCAAGAATGGCATGGAGGGGGTGGACGGCTATGGGTCCTCCGGCCAGTCCCTTAGAGGGATATGATCCCTTACTTCTTCCCCAGCCAGGAACCCACAGTCTCTGGGATTGGGCAGTTGCTCTGTGGGCCCTTTGCTAAGATGTGTGGGCCTCTCGAGTGATTGTAATCACATTTCCTCACCTGCCAAGGCCTTTTCCACCTGCTTATTCAAGTGATTCCCAGCAGTTCTAGGACAATGCACAGGACAAGCTAGTATTCACATTTTATAGATGAAACTGAGGCCCAGGGAACCTACCTAAGGCATACAATGAGTGAGTACAGGATCTAATGCTTATGCTCGAGGACTCCTAACTTAGTGGCCATGCCTGTAAGTCAACAGCAGGTATTGGGGGGAAGCAAGCATCAGCTGAGCACATATTCTGAGGATTGATTTATAATCTCAGGTGGGGGGCTCTGGGCTGCCAGACTTCCCAAGGAAAGGTGATTAAGCCCTTACTGTGCTGTCTGAGGGTCTGGTGTTACTCCTCATATCATTTCCGATGTAGCTAGGCTGCGTGAACAATTTTCTCTGTCTTTTCTGCCTGTTGATAATTCTTTGGAGGAAAAAAAAGAGAAAGAAAAAAAAAAGCTTGAATTATGAATGTCACATACACAAAAATGACGTCTGATGTTACATCCAGAACTGGGTGTGAAGTAGGAGGGCAGAGAAAGAACAAACATTTCAGGCCTGGAAGAAGTCTTAAAGATCACACCCATGGGAGTTTTGTTTGAGTCCATCTCTGGCATCTCCATCATGCTTGTGTCTAGCCTCATTCCCAGGCAGCTCTGCTTCGTAGAAAGTGTCTCCTCAGCCGAAACCGGTTTGGCTCAGTGGATAGGGCGTCGGACTGAGGGGTCCTGGGTTCGATTCTGGTCAGGGACATGTACCTTGGTTGCGGGCACATCCCCAATAGGGGGTGTGCAGGAGGCGGCTGATCGATGTTTCTCTCTCATCGATGTTTCTAGCTCTCTATCCCTCTCCCTTCCTCTCTGTAAAAAATCAATAAAATATATATATTTTTTTTTTAAAAAAAGAAAGAAAAGAAAGAAAGTGCCTCCTCATAATAAAGCAAAATCTGCTTCCACTTAACCTCCACCTTCCCGTCCTCCCTCTGATTGTAGTGTGACAGTCTATACTATGTGTATATGTGATTGTCTTCTGGGTATTTGAGGACAATAGCCATGCCTTTCTGAAGTGCCGCTCCCTTCCAGAACACTAGTCCAGTCTCTCTAATCCACCCTCGTGTAAGACTAGGTGTGACTCACAGTGCATGTGTGTCACACCCCATTTGTAGCAAATCCGTAACAGACATCACTAATCAGACACAGTTCTCTAGTTCAGTCAGTCCCAGGCTTCCTCATGCAATGCTACTCCATGTGGCTACCTACACCCAGTTAGTAGAGGAGGCATTTCATTGTAGCTTCTATACTTGATTGTGAGTTTCTTGAGGACAAGGATTACTCACCCTGTGTCCTTAGTGCCTGCCCAGTGCCCAATGTATGGCTTCTCCTCTGTAAATAAGCACTTGTCATAATGGGATGGATTTGAAACTTCTCCCCATGTGGACTGCCCTCTTCTCATCAGGCTCCAATTTGGCAATGTCCCTTTTCCAGAGTCACCAACAGTAGCCACATATCCAGAGTTTGGTGGAGGCTGCCCCCTCCCTGGCCTGCACCTTTTCCTGTAGCATGGTCTCAGACCATGTGTCTTTGGTCCTCAAGAGTTGCAATGGCATTTTCCCACACATGCTGCCTTCTATTGTAATTGTCTTACTTGGGGTTCCAAACCCAGGATCTTAGTATAAGCTCTGAGGATGAGACCCTGTCCCTTCCTATGTATCTGTCCCCAGCCCTGGCATCCAGGCACTCAACGTTGCCTGTGCTGACCTAAACTGAACTCACGGTTTTCCCTATTCAATTCTGTACTGTTCATTTCATCCCATCTCTGCCCAGGGTTCTTGGCTCCTGATTCTGTCACCCGATATGCCACCTGTCACTCTAGACCCAGTGAATGAGCCTGTTAACACCATCTTTCTATTCTGGGATACGCTTGGTCATTCAGAATGATGAAAGGAGCCAGCAATCAGGGTGTGCGGGATCTGGCAGTGTCTGGCTTTGCACACTGGACATAGGGGCCTGTGACAGCTTGTAAAAAGCCAGGCTCTTGTGATCCATCGCCAAGGTTTGACACAGCCCTTCAGAAGTGAGGGTGGTTTTATGAGGCTCTTCTCTTAGTACTTCCCAAGCTAGGCTCCTGGAACCATAGGGCTTTTGAAAGGCAGCAACAAGGTCCACATGTTAGAACCAATATTTTAAAAGCCAAATAGTATTTTTAAAGCCAGATCTTGCATTCTCACTCCCCAGCCCCCTTCCCACTAACTCATTAGTTCACACAGGGGCTGTATATGTCAAGTTTTGCATTAGACTGGAGCCATAGCAGCCTATAGCAACTCTAGCCGTCTTCTCCAATTCATCAGCACCCACTACTAGTAGTTATAGCTGTAATGTATGAGAAAAATCATGATTCGATAACCATAGTTTAGAAACTGCCATCTCTTAAGCTTGGACCCCCAGGGTTGGTGATAATAAGGTGTCCTGGGGGGTAGGACAGGGGCCCCTCAGCAGATGGGTCTCTAAGGATAAATAAAACAATGGTTGTGGCAGATTCCAACACAAAATGCCTGGCAGGTTGCAGCAATAGTGATTTTTGAGAAACAGAATGCTATTTGGGGACTAGAGGGCTCTCAAGGGCCTTCCTGACCTCTGAAGTCAGGCTGGGAACCTGACAGCAACTTCCTTCCTCGTTGGGAGGGGGTGTGGGGGGGCCGCAGGGCACAGACAGGGAACATACCCACACTCAGAACCCCAGGCAAGGGTCCCTGCTCTGCCACCTGATCCTTTCAGATCCTTGGTTTTCTTGTTTATACTATGAGGAGGTCAAATTAGTCTAGTAGATCTCAAAATATCATGTAGTAATTAATTCTGTATGGATTTAAAAAGGGAAAATGGTGCTGCTCCCAGGGACCTGGAGTTAAAAATCCTTACCCACGCCCTGGAGGGCTTCCAGAACCTGGCTTGAAAATCACTGAAATTACAATCTCCTAGGACCATTCCTCCAGCCCTGGAATTTGGAAGCTCCACATACTTACTTTGATCTCAGATGCCTGGTCTCCTGTAGATTGAAACTGTGACATCCATCCAAGGCCAACTGTGTGACCTGGGAAAAGTGCCTCACCTCTCTGAACTTTACTTAGAGGTTGTAGTGAGACTTCGCCAAGCTGGGGATGTCCTAGGTGACTGGGAATCCCATGTCAGGGGTTTTGGTGTTTCTGGTAAGAAGATGTCTGGGACCACACATCTGAAGAAGGGCCTGAGGAAGGGGCAGTGGGCAGCCAAGGTCACAGGCAGGACCGAGCACCTTTCTCTTCCATGTGCTCAGGTTCTGGTCCAGGCAGTACCAGGCCTCTGCCCCAATGGCCAGCAGAGACAGAGGCTTACATCATCTAACTCATTCAGAGAAAAATCATCAAACCCAAGGATAGGGGTTCATAGTAGCCCTGACTAGAGAACTGGCCTGGCCAAGATCCTGTGCTAGGTAGCACCTAACACTAACCCTGGGCAGTGTGATGAAGTAGTAGCTAACAGCGGCTGGCTCTGAGTCAGAAAGATTGAGCTCAAATCCTTTTTTGTGATCTCAGGCTAGTCTCTTCTCTTTGAGCTCCACTTTTCTCCTCTTTGAAATGGAAGTGATAAGCCTAGTGAAGAGTTGATGAGCTAACATAATTAAAGCACTTAATGCAAGGTTAGTTCATTAATTAAAGCACTTAATTCAAGGTCAGTTCATGGCCAGTCCTCAGTCAGGAATAGTGCTCTGAAGCTTGTGAAGTCTTTGATGAGCAGCTCCCCTTCCTCTTGAGAACCACCTGACCTGAACCATAGGGTTCATCTGGGGAGCCTTCCTATAGCCCCTCTGGCTTGACCATGTCAGGACAAAAACCCTCACCCCCTTAACCCCAACTGGGGTGTGAACCATGCTTCTGAAGAGCAGCTGTCTCTAGAGTAGGGGTGTCGAACTCAATCAGAGAAGGGGCCAAAATCTAAAATCCAGCCTAAATCGCGGGCCGAATGGTTTACTGAACAGTCATAAACTGTCATTGTGATGGAAACGCAGCGGAGTGCAGTGATGACAGCGCGGTGCGGGCCACATTGCAAGGCCTGGCGGGACGGATTTGGCCCGTGGGCCGTGTGTTTGACACATGTGCTCTAGAGGATCAGAGAATGTGGCCCTGGCAACCTAGCAAGACCCTCTTGGGCAGCTGCTCCAGGGCCCCGGGGGATGGTCATCTGTGCTCCAGAGTGGGCTCTCCTGCCAACCAGAAGGGGCTTTCTCTGCTTTCACCCAACTGGACTTGGACACCACCAGAAGCGCCTCCTGACTGCCTCAATTTCAAGGTTCCCAAGGGTCTCCTGCCTTTCCAAGGAAGAGGCTCTTATAGATAGGCTTTCTGGGAGCGGGGGAGAGGGGCTAGATCCTCAGAAGGAGCAAGAAGGTTTGAAGGCAGCTGCTCTAGCAGTCACATGTGTGTGCCACAGGCCATGGAAGGTGACAAGCATGAAACTGCACAATATTTTTTAAAACTTTGAATTAACTAACTCCATTTTAAAATTCAGAGGTTTATTTTTGTAAGTCCAAAATTCTGGCTTTTTGCACATATTTGGTAGTTGTAAAAAGGCTGAACCCACATCTCTACATGGCACCTTTGGGCCAGAAGGGGTTAGATGCCTGGTCTCCTGTAGACATTTAAACTGTGACCTCCATCCAAGGCCATTCCAGTTAGCTTGCAGCTGCAGGAACTAAGGCTCAGAAAGGATCGGGCTATGTGTCAGGTAGTCAGATACACAGCCCACCATGGCCAGTGTTGAGTTTAGAACCTTGCAATGTGGCCTCACAAAGCAGAGCTTTTGTACACTGCCACTCATCTATAAAACTTCAGTGATAAATATCTACCCTCCTAGGCCTGTGTCTGGATAAAGTAGCACCTGGCCAGGACTCACTCAGTAATGATGCTTTTAAATCTGTTCATATGATATGCCTTACCTAGAAAATGTTGCTGGAAGCACTGCTTACTTTCTCTTTCTGCCACCTTTCAGAAATGGTTATTTTTCAAACAACTTCTGATGCTCAGTGGTTAGGATTTGTTCACCAGGACTGACCAGCAGACCCTGAGTGACGGATGAATGATTACTCTGACACAGGTTTGCTGTGAAATAGCTAAAGGACTGCCTGCCTAGAGGAACCAGAAAGCCCCGTTCACCTGCCTCTTCAGGCTTTTGTTGTAACAGCAGTTTGGGATAAAATTTATCTTTTAGATATAACCTGTAGGATAAATAATCTTGGGACACGCATCTGCACTGTCCTTTAAGCAAGGATGTCTAAAGATTAAGCATAAAGATACCAGTAAACACTCAAAGGTCCGTCTGTACAGATACAGACTTATTTGAAAAGGCCAAGGAGTAAGTAGGGGCAGTCACCTTCAGCCAACTCCCCTTGGTTGGAATTTCCTCCTTGTGAACTTTTCAACCAAGTCTCGTGCTTCTCTACATTTGTTGAGTTCTCATTCTCACAGTTTCACTACCCAACTTTAAGCAGCATTGCTCAAAGCTCTAACTTCCACCAGATTGAGCTCAGCAATATATTGGGTCTGGTGCTAAGAACGGATCCTAATTTTATGTGATAGTTAAGGTCTCCAAGGATGGGGACTTGTATTGAGATACTCAGGATCCCTATCTGGTAGGCAAGAGAGGCAAAAGACAAGTGAACCAATCAGTTGATCAGTATTTGAGTAAAACAAACAGTTTTCAGAGAAAACATAACAGTTTTAGATATGGTGGTCAGCGAGCCCCTCATTTGAGTACGTGACATCTGAGCTGAGACTTGAAATCAGAATGAGAATAAGCAACATTGTCTCTGAGACACACATATAGTCTGATTGGAGGAAGAGTTGAGCAACTGTACTTAAAGGTGGCTGAGAGAAAATAAGCATGCAATAATGGTTGGAGGGGAGGCGGGGGGAGTAATTACTACTAACAGAGAATAACAGGTACAAAGGTCCTGAGTAGATGTGTGTTTGGAGTATTTGAGGAATAGCAAGAGGCTGGTGAGGCTGGAATGGAGTGAGCGAAGGGAAAGTGCAGGGACTGATGCTGGAGAAGGAGGGCAGGAGTCATTTCCTATTGTAGGCCGAGGTAGGCAATATGGAGTCTCTTCATTGTGAAGTAGAGAGCCTCTGAAAAGATTTAGAAAGGGGAGGAGTTTTTAATTTGTATTTTAAAATATTCCTCCGACTGCTGTTTGGAGAGTGATTATGGGTGGGTAGGGCCACAAGCAAACCAATGAGGCCAGGGGGTAGAAAGCAGAAGCCTAGACCAGTCTGGTAGGGATGATGTGCTCTTGTCTGGGAGGAGGAGGAAGAGGGAGTGCAAATTTCCAGGGTTCTGGAGTATGTAACTGAGTGCATGGTGTCCCTCTTGGAAAGCAAGGCCATTGTGGGGGAGGAGAGGATTCAGATTCGTGTTGGACATGCTCGGCTTGCCATGGCCTTAGTACTTCACCCAGAGCTGCCTAGTGCACTGAGCTATTGAAATAGAAAGTGATACAACCTCTCAGCTACTGTCAGGACTGCATGCTGTAAAATCCTCTTGACTGCAGGCTAGTTTAGGGGGACTTTATGAGGGATTCTGGGTGCAGAAGGAAAAGGCCTCTGTTTTCATTGCCCAGATAGCTCCAGGAGGCCACAGGCCTCATCTGAGAGGAGGCAACCCTCTCAGGCCTCCTTGCCTCTGACCCTCTCTTCCCTTCACCAGCTTTGCCAAGCTGTGCCCTGCTCAAATCTGTCTTCCTGTGTCTTGGACTATGCTGCCCTGCTCCTTTGCTCTGAGAGGATCCCCTTGCCTGAAAGCACTGCCTTTTCTTGTCACTCAGTGTCTCTCCTTCCAGACCTAGTCAACTTTAATGTCTTCCAAAAAGGCTGTCCCAAGGAGTGATAATTCTTTCCTTGATCCAGAAACCATGGTAACATGAGTTACAGGGACCCACCCCATGATTACAAAGCATCAGCAGCAGCAGCATCATCTGTTATCTCCTTGGTTCCAACTCACTCACAGCATATTGGATATCTTACCCCATTTGCTGAGTGAAACAGTTAACATACCCAAGGCTGCCGCCTTCGTGTGACCCTCACTTGAGTTAATGCAATGGGTGGGGTATAAGTTAGTGGTCAGCCTTCAGGCAACCTGAGTTCAGTCCCCAGCCCCAATACTGCCAAGGCTGGGAGACGAGCCAGGGCAAATTGCTCCACTTCTCTGAACCGCACCTTAAAGTGGGGTAATGACAGACCTACTTCTCACATATACCCATTTGGAGGATTCAGTTGGCCAAAGTTCAGCCAATTCTCATTATTCATGGAGGTTATGTTCATAAAGTCTCAGAAACAGAGATAGCAAATATTGAACTCCTAGGAGAAGTGTAGGGACCTGAAAGCCTTGATTGATTTTCACCCCACGTAACCTTGTTTTGTGTGTGTTTCTGTTTAAAGGCATTTGTTTAACGTGTTGTTGATTTATTAACATTAAGCTCAGCCAACAGCACTATAACTCATGCCTGAACAAAGCTTATCTTTGAACATATATTGAACATATATTTTCTCCATAAGGCACATCACAGCCTTCTTCTACTTAGGAACACTAGACAGCACTTCAGCATTACACTTGGGGGATTTTAAACAGAAATCACCCCCCCTCCTCCCCAAAGAAGGCACAAAAATGTGAAAAACACAGCACTAAAGAGACAAGAAAAAGAACACTTGCTTATAACTTTAAGCTAACTGTTAAGGCGGAGTGAGAGATGTTACTTCCAGAATGACAAAGTGAGAAAGTGGGCTGCCATGGGCTGCCAACAGGAAAGGGGCTCTGAGAAGGCAGTCTGTCCCTGATCCTGAACTAGCTAACTGAATTCTCCCAGCTTCCCCTGCTTTGGGGGAAGAAGCAAAGGGGAGGAGGGAGGTATTTGAAGATGGGTGGGAGTCTTCAGTTCTGTTTGTACCACATACAAATGAGTTGCTGGATTTAACTGTGTGGTTTGACAGGTTATGTAATGAGAGGGCATGGGATCTTATAGGTCCTCCGCCTTCCTCTGAAAAGCCTATTCCTAAGGTTGGCAGAGGGAGCGAAAAGAGTTTAGGGCGTTCTGGCCCTGAGTCTAGCTCTGTCCCTTCATGTGGGACCTTGAGGGAGCCTCATTGCCTCTTCTAGAAGGCCTCCTGCCATGGCTCCCACAGTCTGCGGTCCCCTGCATCCGTTCCTATTCTAGACCTCTTATTCAGTCCCCTGCCCAGCTTGGCCCTCGGGGAAACAGCAAGCTCAAGAGCTATGCTGGGCTCAGGACTACACTAGTAAGTCCACCTTGGCCTCCAACGCACGTGCAAGGGACTAGCTTCCTGGGTTTGCTGTGTCCTCCAGATCTCTCAGGAGATGGAGTCATAGCCACTCTTCTGAACATCTGAAGCTCTGTTTAGCCACCTTATACACCTTAATATTAAAAAACAAAATGCAAAACAAATTTATTCTGACATAATAGATAGGGTTTGCTGATAAAATATTGGGGTGGAGGCAGAAATGAGACAAAAGGACTCATTAGAAGCAAGGACTTGTACAATGTGGGGCAGGGAGTGTGGGCTGGATGTCTATGGCCAGGACAGGCTGCATGGAGGAGGCGTCATACACTGGCTTCTATCTGAACCTCGGCATGAGGGATTGGCATGGCCACGATGGGGGCAGGGAAGCATGTGGCTCCGGGAAGTGGTGGTTCAGCGTACACATGCTGCTGTGGCTCAGCAATGTTTCACTCAGGATCTTTGAAAATATGCACAAGT